CCCTAATTGTTATATTTTTGCTCGGCCAGTCTCTTGTTTTGGGGGATTTTTACTTTGAGACTGATTTCTTGGATGTTGGAAGGTAATAATAATTTTTTTTTTTTTTATACCAGGTATTGAACTCGGGACCTTGCACTTGGGAGGCAGGCAGCAGCACCACTGAGCTAAATCGCAGCTGCTCTGGCCTGCCTTATCCTGAGTGCTCAACATGGGGCCTCATTGCTCTGCGGTATTGGAGGGGAGAGGATGCTAAATTGTGGGGAAGAATGCTGGCTGGCCCTTCGCAGAGGAAGGGCCTTTCATTTGTGTTCCTGTCATTCAGCAGTTTGCATGATATTTTGCTGTGTACACTTTACACAGACATAGTAAGTTGGTGCTGTACATACTGTTTTTAAATTTACATTGTAACGTCCTCCCCTTCCCCGGCCCTGGGGATTGAACTCAGGGCCTTCACACTAAGCCACATTCCCACCTCTTTAAATGTTTTTTTTCTTTTTCCACTTTGAGATGGGATCTTATTATTGTGCAGGCTGGGCTCTATCTTGTGACCCTACTGCTTCGGTCTCCCAGATTGCTGGAATTGCTGGCAAAACCACATGCAGCTGTGAAGTTGCCTTTAAATCCAGTTAGTCATTGTCTCATTTTTTTAAAAAATCAGTATTTTCTGCTCTTTTTATGGGGTAAGAATAACCCACACAAGATATAACTAATAAACAGATTTTTAAGTGCACAGTATAGTAGTATGGTATTGCTCACCATGTGCAGTATTTTACAGCAAATCTCTAAAACTTCCCTGGCATAGTGGAAACTTCATATCTTAAGTAGCAGCTCTCCATTTCCTCTCCTCCAGACCTCTGGCAGAACCATCCTACTTTGTCTTGTGGGCCTCCTCAGTGCTGAGATTACAGGTGTGCATGAGCGTCCCCAGCCGGTTAGTGCGTTTTCTGGTGTTTCATATGTTAGTCTGTTTTTATACCTCTGTTAAACTCTTCTGTTTATTACATCCTTGTATTAAGAGTTTCTAGATGCTGATTCCTTCTCTTATTATTTTCCAGACATTTGTGGCTTTATTACTTAGTCCCTCAGAGGCATTTTTAGCAATCCTTCCTGTCTGCTTTTGGAGTGTTTGATATTTAAATTAAATTTTTATAGATTATGTTTATTGGAATGGACGCCCTTGCAGTCATTTTCCCTCCAGGAATTTTTATTATTTCTCTGATTATTCAGATCTCTATTATGTCCTCAATAGTATTTAATAGCTTTCTTCCTAAAGGCCACACACAGATTTTGTTAAATTTTATTGGTAAGTGTTTAACATGACTGCCACTTTGAAAAGAGGATTCTTTCCTTCCATTGTCATCAAGAGTTCTTTTCTGCAAATATTTTAGAACCTTTCTATGGGCCTGATGGTCTCTGTCACATGTTCTCTTTTGTTGTTTTTACAATATTTTAAAAACGTAAAATCCTTCTTAGCTGGAGACCAAATACTGAAAAGGGGCCAGGTTGTCATTTGCCAACTTGTGATGTGGACACTGTTTGATTCAGTCATATTGAAAATCTCTTGCTCTGTCATTTGGAACCAGCCATCCAATTGCAGGATTTTCATATCTCTTGATACAGTTAGGATTTGGTCTTTTCAAATTCTTTTTCTTCTGTCGTCCAGTGATGGTGGTGACATTGATGTGCCCAGCTTGTTCCTGACATTAATGTACCTGCTCAGTCATAGGTCTGATGCGATGAGTATTCAACAGGAATAATTGTTACATTATTCAGTACACACCATTCTACAAATTTAGGTCCCTTTAGTATGCAAGACAAAGTTCTGCATCCTGGCAGGTGTCAACCCTCTTGTTCCTACAGCTGTCTGTGGTCAGTAGGTGGACATTGCCTTGCTTATTCTGAGCATCTTAATGGTCCTCAGACACCATGGTCAGGTAGCATCCAGAGAATCTATGGACAGGAGTTGCCTCCATAGAAAGGGGATGAGGTGCTCATTTTGGGGGACAGCATGTACAAGAACTAGGATCTAGCAGAGGGTTAACAATCCAAGGAGCTGAAAGGACAGCATACCAGGGTCAAATAAGACAGGGAGGGAGAGTGGCAGGGCTGCCTTTCAGCCTGGAGAAGGAATTTGGGTGTCCCTCTAAAAGCTAATTAGGAAGCCACCCAAGAGCACATAGAATGATCAAGGCCAAATGTTTAGGCCCATTAGGATGGAACAAGAAGCCAGGTGTGGTGTGTGCATTCTGGGAGGCTGAGATGAGGATTGAAAATTTGAGCCCATTCTGGACAACCTAGCAACTTAGAGACCCTATCTCAAAAAAATAAAAGGGCTGGGATATAGCTCAGTGTAAAGGTTTCAATCCCTGGCACCACAAAAGACAAAAGGATTTTGGTGGCTGTTGGAGTGATGCTGAGAGGCACTGGTGGCACATGCTATAGAGAGGCTGTGTGTGGGAGGAAGGACACAGCCTAGGGATTCCTGGCACTTGGAGGGTGCATACCCCTCACCTCACCCCTTCCCATTGTCCCGTCAGTGCTCATCATGGGGTCTGAGAACCGTTATAATGGCTGCAGTCCAGCAAGAGGATGGTCACCCGCTGCCCAGCCAGTCAGCTGCAGGGGCCAAAGGCAGCACCCCTGGAAAAGGCCCTCAGTTTCTCGCCCTGCCTCTCGCAAGCCCCAGCCTTGCTGTGCATTGCTGAGAGGCAAGGCAGGGCGGTGGCTGGAAGCTGAGCAGGGAGAGGACTGCTTTGTCTCACTGTATAAGCAGTTTGGACGGATTAGAAATAATCGTTAGCGTTGGAATCCTGGTATTGCTGGGTGTCTTTTGTTGAGATACTTTATTTCTTTGACGTTCAGTTTGTAGAGTTAATGGGCAAATCAAGTGATATTACAGTGAGTGGCCAGAATAATTGCCATTTGTATAATGAGTTCTTGCCACACGTAGGCACGGGGCAATGGAAAACTGCTGATATTACCACTGTTGACGTCATCATTGTGGTCTTTCATCCCTCATCACCTCCTTCTCCTCTTTCCTTAGGTGGTTGGGACAAGACTGTACCTGGCCTGCTCATGGCTTTCTGTTTTTGCAAGCAGTTAGGAAGAGGGCACGTGAGCACCTAGCACCGGAGTCCCTGAGAGATTTTCCTTCTTGTTTTAACAAATTCACATGCATGCCCTCAGCTGCACTCTGCCCTGGACACTTTCCTTTCATCTTCTGCATTCTCCATCCGGACCTTGGCGTTTATCCACCCTGTCTTTGTGCCGTATGGACGAGCCCTCTGATCTCAGGCTGGTGCGCAGTTTCTGCCCTTGAGGCGGGCTTCATTAGCCTTCTGGGGACTCGACACATAACAGTTTCAAGGGTGCATTTCTTTGTCAGCAGTCACTGTCCTCTTTTCCCCCATTTGCCGTCCTTGACGAAGGATCCCTGTTGCCTCTCCCTGGACCTCTGTCCTCTACACTGGAGGAGGTGCAGCCCCTCAGCCCTCACCCCTCAAAGCTTCTGGCTTACTGCCAACTGTGAGGGCCGGTAGGGCCTCCAGACCATGCTACTTTCCCCCTGGAGAGTGAAGTTAGCCTATGGGTTGACAACAGCTGGTTTAAACAGCTGTGGATGAAAACATAAACCAGCACGGCTGCCTCAGAAGACCAATGCCAGGTGTGCACCAGCTTGCTCTCTGATGAGGCTTGATGTTCGGGCAGCTATTTATTTATTTCCTTTCTGCCCTCCAACTACAGGACTCTCAAATTTTGCATGAGCCTCTCTTATTTGTTTACCTTTCGCTTCTCCCCAGCTCATTCAAAGTATCTGTGAGTGAAGAGTCTGTGGCAGTTGAGGGAGCAGTGTCTCCCGCCAGCATCTCCACTCTCTCTGCGGCTGGCTCTGCACTTGCACAGCAACCTGCCTGCTGGCTAATTCGCTCTCAGTGGGAAACTAACTTGTGGTTAAGATCTGATGTCACCAGAATGAGGCCAGCAAACGTGCTGTACCCTCCCCACCCTGGCTGCTTGCGTTACACCTTTCTTTACAGAAATCCAGGCATTCTGAGGCATGCTATGTTGTGCGTGTGTCAGCCCTTGTATGGATCCCATCCGCCCTCAGTTTTGAAGCCAAATTCTGCAAATGCTTATTCATCAAAGGTGAATCACTTCTATTGTCCAGTTCATAATTCATGCTTTGAAATTGGGATGTGATTTTCTGCTGCTTCACCAAAAGTAAGCAGGATAGATGTTCCGGAAGCTTCCTACTTTTGAGTTTCTCTTAGATTTTTTTTTCTTTTTGGAGACAAGTTCTCTCTGTGTCGCCTAGGCTGTCCTCAAACTTGTGATCTTCCTGCCTCAGCCTGTAGAATGCTGGGATTATAGTCTTATGCTATGCCTAGTTTAGGTTTTTCTCTTTGTTTTGGAGTGTTAGGTTCTTTCTTTCTTGAACAGTGTCAGAGTTGGTGAGATTTTTCCAGGCTTGTCAGGTCTATCTTGGGTCTAGTAGTGCTGACCTTTCCCATTTTTCTTCTTTTTGTCTCTTGTCACATTACCTCCTTTTTGGAGGAGGGGGTATGAATTTCTTTTTGATTTATGTTGTCATTTGAGTGATATGTTTTGGCTCCTTTGAAATCAGCTCCTCATTTGCACCAGCCATGTTTCAAGCACATTGTAGCCACATGTGACCATGGATGACTGTTGGACAGGACAGTACTGAGCATTTCCATCACCACAGACAGTTGTGTTGGGTAGTGATAGGTTGTGAGGTGTGTTCATTCACCACAGTGCATGTCAGCGGCCTACTGGAGCTATATGTTCTTTTCCTTACTGTTGTGATACTTGTGACAATTCAATTCAGGGGGCTTTCAGAAACAGTGGCTGTAAATGAAGAAGGTGAGTCCTTAAATTCTAGACGTTTGGGCATGACTTACACTGTGACTTTTTTCTGGTCAGGGAACTTGGTGACCTGTGCTGTGTGATTCGAGGTGATTTGGCTGCTTTATCTCTTGCAGGTGCTAAGAGATGGAGCTCCTGGGTTTCATCTCCATCTGAGAGTCTGGGTGCTCCAGGCAGTGGAAGCCGAGTCTCATCCTAGGCTCCTGGCTTGAATCAACCTTCACTGCAGCCACTCTGGGCCAGTGGCACTGCAAAACTGCTCGGATTCTCTTAATGATGGGTATTGGCAAGAACACTACATCCAAATCGATGGAGGCTGGGAGCTCCACGGAAGGCAAATATGAAGATGAAGCAAAGCACCCCACCTTCTTCACTCTTCCGGTAATCGCATTGCAGTTTTCCATTCTTCTGTCTCTTTGAAGGTTTTTTGTATGGACTCATCATGGGATGGGCTCCGACACTTGTGCTTTCAGTGATGGGGGCAGCACCAAGACCGACATCTTCCATGGGAATTGTCTGAGCTGAGCCGACGCTTCAGGAGTTGGCCCCCACTCTTGCCTGGATCCCCTGCTGGAATTACCTGTAGGAAGGGAGCCTGCACTGCTGGCCACGTGGTAAAATGGCCCAGTGCTCAGCGTGTACTGGAGGGTGTTGAAGGCTTAATTTTCTCTCCAAAATGTGCCTATATGAAGTGACCCATAACCCAGCTTCTACTTGTATTGCAAGATGGGAGGATGAGAGCTATTTGGAACCCACTGGCTGTGCTTGCTATTGTGACAGCAGCATGCAGGGCAGAGGCGGTTTTATCGGAGGCAGGTTTTATCGGAGGCTGCCGTAGCAGGCAGAGAAGGCTGCTCTCACCTCTTCATTACGTTCAATGTCAGTAATTTTTCCCCAAATATAAGATTATCCTTTGATATATACCAGTTTACCCATAAAGGGGAAAGAAAAAATCCTTAGAGAGAGCATGTCTCAAGAAGTTTTTCTCTTGGGATTAGAAATGTGGCTGATGGCATGAAGACCATTCTAGCGTTGCCCAGCTGATGGCACACCACATCTTGGCGTACAGTACTTTACTTGACTACTTGCATTCACATTTTGATTTTTACCTTGTTAGCTCACAGAGAGGAGTTCTCCCGATTATACAGGTGGCATCAATATTGTCTTTGCCTGTAAAGTGAAAGTTTTGAAACTCGGCTTTGGTTGATACATGTTTTCTAAGGGGAGAGACAGAACACTTTATTCATTAATGGGTTGTTAAATTTGAATTAGACCAGCTTTGAAGAGTAGGAGGGAGCTCCCTGCATGGGTATTGACCTATGTCAGTGAGCCAGGCAGATGATTCAGTGCCATCTCCCTTCACATTACCAAGAGCTTGACTATGCCTTACCCACTTGCCTCACCATTATTTTTTGTTTAATTAATTTGGTTTTTCTTTCTTTTTTTGTTTCACGATAAGGTCTCACTATGTAGTTTAGGCTGGCCTTGAACTCAATCCTGCTTCAGTCTCCTGAGTGCTGGGGTTACAGTTATGCACTGCCATGCCCAGCTAAAGTTTACTTGCTTTAGCCGTGAAATTGTGATAGTTTGCACTTAGCACTTGAATCCACCAATGGAATCAGACATTGGCAGTTTCATTGTCCCTGTTGTCTCTCATATCTCTTTCCTGCCACTTAGTCACCTTTACTAAAATGCACTGTGGATCTGCAGAATGACTTAGTCTTTGTGCTCTGAAAATCATTGTGCTTTGCTCTGGATCCTGAATGAATGTTTGCTAATTGCACACTTGAGCCTCCTGATCTCTTTTTCCCTTTTGTTGCTTTCTTGTGATTGGAGTAAACTTCCCCAGTGCCTGCTGGGTGACTCCCCAGGATTTCCAGTTACTGTTTGTGTACAATCTTGTCTTTTCATTGATTTTTTTTTCCTCTCTCTAGTACTAGAAATTGAAATTCGGACCCTCATACTGAGCTACATCTCATCTTTTTTCTGTTTTTTATTTTGAAGTAGTATTTCACAGTGTCTCCACATTGCTCAGGATGGGCTAGAACTTATGATGTTCCTGCCTCACCCTCTCAGAATGCTGGATTATAGGCATGCACCACCATGCCAGCTTTTATTTAATTTTTATTACAGTGATTGTACTTATTATTTCTATAATTTCTGCTTATTTTTATTTCTTAACTTCTTATACACATTTTTTTTTGTTGTTTTGTTTGGAATTCAGGTCCTTGTGCTTGCAAGGCAGTCGGCAGAACCACTAAGCTAAACCCCAGCCCCATACACATGTATTTTTTGTTTTATTCTTTGTTGCAGCGTCTCACTGTGTAATTCAGGCTGACCTTCAACTCTCTGTGCAGCCAAGGCTGGCCTCAAACTCACAGCAATCCTCCTGCCCCAGCCTCCCCAGTGCTGGGATTGCAGGTGTGCACCACCATACCTGCCCTTTTGTGTGTGTTTTTCAGTGTTTCTTTATTTAAGTCACCAGAGACATTAACATACTTATTTAAAAGTCTCTCCCAATCTCTTCTCTTTTCCTCTGCAGTGTTTTGGAATTTTCTTTTCTCTTTCTGTGCACCTACAGGGTTACATTTTCCTGGCCCGGCTAAGTGTGGAACTGGGCCTTACAGTTATCACCCCCCCCAGGGGTGTGAGCCTGCTAGGAATGGGGAGGGAGGGAGGGAGGGACCTGCTGGCCCCTGCTGTTGAGCCTTGAATCACCTCTGCCCCTCATGGGCAGGGCTGAGTCTCTGGAGTCTGTTCTCTGCTGGAGGAGTCAGGGCTTTGAGACAGCAGGGCTGCAGCCTTCCAAGGTCTGAACCATGTGGGTGGCTCCATTTATTGCTTGCTTTATGTTCCTTGTATGTGGAAATGTTTGTCTTTTTAACCTGCTTGATTTTGAGTTTTTCCCCACTGTTATATTTTGGCAGACATTAATTAAATGAGTAAATATGTCAGTCTTAGGGCAGCCAGTGGCTGATTCTGTGAAGAGAAATAAATCCAAGGGGTAGGGTAGGGAGGGATACAATGTCATGCCAGGTAGGGATCATATAGGACCTGCAGGCTACTCATTAAATTTTTTTTAATGCATTAGTGTGTCTCATAGGTGCTGGGCTCTGGGAAATAATGTAGCAGCGAATAGGCAGACAAACTTCTCTGTCTCTGACCTCATAGTACTTCCATCCTGGTGAGGGAGATAGGCAGACATGATAGAAGTAAGTCACATTTGCAGATGATGTTAGATTTCAATAAGCACTAAGGAAAAACCAGGGCATGTGCTCACTTTGGCAGCACATACACTGAAATGGAAAGAACTGGGGAAGAGGGTTAGGGTGTAGAAAGACTACATGAACAGGCTGACCAATGACAGGTCTGGAGAGAGCTTGTTATGACTGGGGGAACAAGTGCAAAGGTCCTGAGGCAGGCTCCTGGGTGCCTGGTGTGGGGTCTGGCAGGGGGAAGGGGTCAGCTGGAGATAGGTAGACCCCAGGACCTGATAAGGGTTTTGGTTCTTCTTCCTGAGTTGTAGAAAAGGGTGGGAGGGCTTTGATCAAAGCAGACAGGGACATGCTCTGCTTAGTTTTGAAAGGGTCCCTTTGGCCACACTGGGGAGTGACCATAGTAAAATCAGGAGGCCAGGCAGGGGCTGCCTGCACGGACACTGCCAGCCTCAAGGAGGAGGCAGCCACGTGCCCAGCACTGGAGGAGACCCGGCTGCTGGGCCAGATGGGAGCAGCAGGAGGTGGCAAGGGAAACTTCCAGCTGCTTCAGTGAGCATCAGGAAGGGCAGCTTGGCCCATGCTGAGATGGAGAAATCTCAGGGATGACCTGGATTGGTGAGGGGGTCATCAGGAGTGCGGTGTTGCCTGTGGGAACATCAGTCTTGGGGGTAGAAAATTAAGTTTGCGGTTGTGGTGCTCAGGGAAGAGTGTGGGTGGAGAGCAGTGTGGACATGGTGTTTAAATTAGGCCAGGGAACTGGGGGGTGGGGGTGCAGCAAAGGGGACAGGCAAGGGGTGGTTAGTGAGGCCACAGGGAACCAGGAAGGCTGTCTGTCCTGGAAGCCAGGGGAGGAGGCTCAGCTGCTGGAATGGCCCTGTGTGTGGGCTCTGCCTTCCAGGGAGGATGGTGGAGCTGCAGGTACGCACAGGAGCAGTGGCGGGTGATGCAAGCCCTGGCTGGGCTGAGGAAAGAAGTAAGGGCAGTGGCAGGGCTCAGGACCGTTCTGGTCATTCTTGTGCTGCAGCTTACTCTACATGTGCAGAGGTTTTGATAGTTTTAAATGAAATGAAGGGTGTGAGTTGTGTCAGGACATCAGTGTCACTCTGCTCTCTTCCCTTACTAATACGTTGTCGATATGTTCTGTGTGTACTCTTATCAGTATACAGAGTGACTCATTCTTTTTTATAACTTCAGAGCGATCCACGAGATGGATATGGATGCACTACGGGGATTGAACTCAGGTCCTTGCATTTGCAAGGCATGCGGCAGAACCACTGAGCTAAATCCCCGGCCCGTGATACACTGTAATTTAATTTCTGTTGGTGGATGTCTGGGTTGGCTCTAATATTTTGCTGTTACAAATTGCACTGGGCTGAAAAACCTTGCACGTCAGTAATTTCACTCAGATGTAGTTGAAGGATAAATCTCTCAGTGGAATTGTGGGTTTGAGGGGAGAGCCCTGGGCAGGGGAAGGGAACTCCTTACAAAAACAAGGGAACCCCTCACATTGGCAGGGGGCAGAGACTCCCAGGTTTGGCTAGTGGAGAACTGTGGTCTCAGCCAGTGTGGCATTGTTTAATTTGCATCTTACAAGGAAGGTGGAACCTCTTTTCAAATGTTGAGGGGCCATTTGTATTTCCTTGATGGTTTTCCTGCTGGGAGGTTGACTTGTTTCCTAGCGGCTTCTGTCTTTTACAACATTCTTTACATATCAGAGTCTAGTTTGGTGTCTGCAGTAAGTGTATCCCTTCCTGGTGAGTTCTGGAGCCAGTCTGAGGACCAGGTTCACAGGGACATTATCTTAGCCTGCTTTCTGTTGCTGGTATTGCTGTATCACAGTTAGGAAGAAAACAAGTTCATTTTGGCTTGTGGTTTTGGTCCCTGTTTCCATAGGATGGGGCTACATCTGGTGATAGCCCTTTTCCTTCATGGAAGCCATGCAGAGCCTTGTATGACGGGTGTATTGGAGCTTGGCTTCTCACACTGGTTCTCAAGGTTTTAATCGGCTAATCGCCTGATTGGATTATCCCTTCGCGAGGCTGGGTCTCTAATCACTGCTTAAAGGTTCCACCTGGTCCTGCGTCTTAATAGTTCATAATGGGGTTTATGTTTCTGTGAGTTTTGAAGAAAATGGGCCATAGTCAAACCATTGCGGATGTCTCT